ACAGACAACCTCTCGTCAATATGCGTTTTTCGCATTGCATTGCTGCAAAAAACGCATAAAAACCGATTTCATGGCGACAAGCGACACAGAAGTTTTCAAATGCGCATGTAATTGGTTGTCGTACAACAGGTGGAACTTCGATATGAGCCAAAGGAGGATAAGGAGTGGGGGGAGGGAGGGGGGAGGGGAACAACCCCTTTACAATTTGTTCATTCGTTTCGATGTAAAATTGGTACTGGCTTGTGCTCGGGAATGAAACCCGCTTATAAGCAGCGCTTCTTGCGAAAGTGGGCAGCACCAACAGCCCTGCCAGCGGTTGAATTCTATTGTTTTCTACCACTGTCAGGCTATTTCCCGAATGCTTGCGCCTCTCAGTGAGAGCTAAGTCTATAAAAGAGGTTTTGACTTTTCGAGTGTTGGTTTTCCTTGCTGCATTAATTGGGAATTCTTCAGGCAAAATCATGTAAACGAACCTGAAGCAGCGGGTGCCGCAGCGCCCTCTCAGACGCCGGTCGATTCCGACGGTGTCATTGAGGTATGATTTCCGCTTTCTTTCGATAATATAGAGAAAGGGAGAATTTGAAGTTAACGAGTAACAGAATTGGGTTGGGATGTTTTGTCAAATACGGCATCTCTGGGAAGTTTTGTTTGGAATTGGTTGTTGTATTTTTACCCTCAACTGGTGAAAAAAAGCTCTTGTTAAGTCGCAAAATTTGGTCAAAAAATTGCTTGCTCCTTATGAATTCCACATTTAGGCCTGTTACTTGTAAGCACTGGTTTGGTATGTTTTGACGTCTTTTTTTGTAGAGTAACTGGGATCATGTCTGCGAGAATTTTGACGATATGGGCTTAAAAGAAAACCTTCTGCGTGGAATCTACGCATTTGGCTTCGAAAAGCCGTCAGCAATTCAGCAGCGCGCAATCGTTCCGTGTACCAAAAGTGAGTTTTATTAGCTGTTCTTTTCGAGAACACTGATTTTATCGAACTGTTTGTCTACAGCTTACCATATAGAGTCATCGCTTGCGTACCTGAGGATGGTGTCGTTCGTTCATCGATTGCGCATTTGCTTCGAAAAGCCTTCTTTTGACATTAAAGATCCCGAAAATCCCCAAACGGTAGGGAAGGGCGCGCAGATTTGGATCATAATTAAATCTAAATGATACGGATTTGAATCGAAAGAGTCTTTTTTACCAAAAAAATTGTTTAGCTCACCAGAAGGCATGTCAAAATTAACTGGAATTCGTGGGAAAGCAAAAATGAATGGGTTTGTAGGGTTTTGAGAAGCTAGGTCTAGCGCCAGAAGTCCATAAAGTGGTTTTACCGCGTAGTGGAAAGTGGTTTATTGTGTAGAAGGAGCCTTCATCAATTATTGCTCGTTTAACGGCATTAAACATGGATTAGTATGGGATGTGTTTCCAAGAGGTAAAAGAGATTTTAAGGAGCTGCGGTTAAATCCAGTGCAAAGTTATGAGAATTCGGATTTGGGTTTCGTTCGAAATGATTTTTTGTTTGTGCTTCTAGAGCGTGATGTGATTGCACAGGCGCAATCAGGTACCGGCAAAACGGCGACATTTTCGGTCGCTGTTCTCCAGAACATTGATGAGACTCATCCGGAAGTCCAGGCCCTTGTAATGGCGCCCACACGTGAGCTAGCACAGCAGGTAAAACCGATGCTTTTTTAGTTTAATGTTTGAATGCTTTGATTTTTAATGTCAAAAAACATTCAGTTATGTTGTTTTGTAATGAAATTTTAAGTAGTGCATGTGTAAGTTTTCCGTGAAATAGCCGTTCTGAACGTGACTTTGAGATCGCCGATCGATGATGTTGTAAGTTATTTTCGGACAAAAGAAATGGTACACTGGTCGCGAAGTGCTGAATTTGAGATCGGTCAGATTCTGCCTGATTATGGAGCTCTTGTTATAGCTGATTATATCAGTGTTTGATAGTCGAGAAAATCTGGCTACTAATAGAAGCAAGAAAGTAAACGATGGTTATTGCGGAGGAAATGATGAAGTGAAGGATTCTCAGAGGGCCTTTTTTGTGGCGAATACAGAAAAACGCATACGAAGGGGTGTTGTATGCACTGCATATTGTTGTGGGAAAAAGAAGAATAAAATTCGGTGCGCAAGTTATGTTATTTGATGTGTGAAGAACTGGAAATCGCGTAACAACGTGGTACTTGCGAAGAACAACGATGTTTCTTCAGAAGAAATCAAGCGAATACAATGTACGAGGCGAAGGCACAAAATATTGATACTGGAAGTACATGTCAAGACGTGAGGGCATGGCATAGCTGCACCTAACGTTTGGAATATCGTATAATATTTGTAATCGCCGGAATCGGGGAAGGATGTGCCAGGCTTTTACAATGCCATAAAATGGGTTTTTTTTGCGGACGATTTAGAATTACAGACATTTAGACGGAGGTGCATACGTTTGGAACGTCCGCACAACCGAGAATACGTACGTTTATAACGTAGAAACGTTCTTCGAAAGCCTCGTCATTCCCTGATGGAGCAGAAGTTTACAGTTGTCTTTAACCCCCATGAAGCTGGTTTTACGAAGCGAGCGAAGAAAGCTCTGGTAACAGTATTAGCCAAGGGTACAGCGGTCCTTGTGGACCAAAGTTGAAGAAAATGCCTACGCCGAATACAGTTACATTACTACGCCACAAAAAAGTACCGGCAAAAATACCTATTCGGTGCTGCACCGGAAGACTATAATGTAGACGAAAAGCAGAGTGCAGCGGCCGTTCAGGTAACGTGATGGATATCTAAGCCTGCCATATCAAGTTGCTCAGGGCCTCCTGATAACAAGTTGCTGGTCAAAAACAGCTAAACGAACAAGAAACAGTCGAGTGCAACCGCGTGAAAATAAACCAGTTTCGTGCGAGCAAGCGGATATACATGCCTGCGGAGATGACGAAGATGTGTAATTGAAAACTCTACCACAGATGTGATGGTTCTTACCGCTTGCTGGAAGTCACCACGGTGGTGGCTGGTGCGGTCATTGAGAAAGATGGATCAGATGTTTAAACTGTGGCCAGACTCTTTGCGGAAGGTCCCACTGAGTGTTGGGTGCTCCAAGATCGGTAGTTAAAATGGCAGTCGGCGTACATAGTGCATTGGGATAGCGCTACTGCTATGCATTGTTCGACGGTTCGACTGTTCCGCCAGTGTGGCACTCAGTCCCTCTACAACTCGTGTCAGTGATTAATTGGTACTGGCATATGCCAGAGAGTCAAATCTACCATCAGCTTGCGGGCAACCTTCAGAATAGGAACCACCGACAGCCTTGCCAGTGAGCGGTTGTTGTTGGCATTTGCTACCATTCGGGCGCTTCCTGAGTGCCTTCACCGTTCACTGAGTGCGAAGTATGGAGGGGTTTTGAAATGTAATTAAAATAGCCATAGAAAGCTCAGGACCGAGTTCAAATGAGCGGTATCGTGTGGGGAAATGCTGGAATAACAGAAATCGAGGCAAAGTCTTTCCTTCCCCGTCTTCCCTTCCCTTTGTCTTCGCCGCACCTATCATTCGCCGTTTCCGTGCTCCTACTCTTATTTATATATATATTGAATAAACCTTGCAGTAAGGTGGATTTTCTGTGAGTTTTTATCTCGAGCGGTATAAGTGTGATGGCTCTTGTCTTTTGGATGTTTTTAATGTTTCCAGTTTGGGTGAACCGTCTCATTACCGGTACCACTGAGGCGTCCCCGGATTGCCCTGCCCCCGTAACGCGTGCCAATTAGACCTGTGCATTCGGTTGCCGTGTTTGTTCCCCCTACTAATAAACTGGTCGGGAATATCGATCGTTTCGTACTGCATGAGCATCGCTGCAGTTGTGGAAATTTGATTTTTTTTCGTAAACCTCGCATCGTCGGCTGACTGAATCATCGTTTCGGTTTATTGTCTACATAATACAGGCATGGAAGTTTGCTAGAAATGTCCAGGGGTACGGATGCTTCGCTCACAGCCTGTCTTTGAGTTGCTCCAGTGTTCGCTGAGATTCTCCCACATGCATCTGGTGGTGATGGCTTCTTAAGCTGCTACGTGGACAGTAGCCGATTTCGAATGTGCAGGCAGTTGTTTCCAGTGTTCGGGAATAGCAGTTGAAGACCAAGAAGACTTATTTGCTAATAAAGAATAACCGGGAACAGGGAAAAGTGTGATTTGGAGAAGTCGTTGAGGCATTGTTCGCAATGAGAATTGCGCCAGTTTGCTTCCATGTTGCTACTGATGCAGCAAAATGCCAGCAAGGGAGTGTGTTTTTTAGATTCAAAAAGTGATGCTGTCGTTGGGCGAATATCTCGGAGTGAAGTGCCACGCTTCAATAGGTGGCACAAATGTTCGTGATGATCTGCGTAAACTTGAAGCTGGCGTTCACGTTGTGGTTGGCACACCTGGTCGTGTGAATGATATGATTGATCGCCAGGCACTTGGTAAGTGCGAGCCACTTTTTGCAATATTTGCTTCCGTTCCTTCCTTCCTTCTCTCATAGTGTAATCTGTCGCTCCTTAGCGGCCATTTAGGCTTGTAGGGTCAACCTGGTTGCTACAATCTGCTTATTGACTTCCGCATTGTTCCTTCACTGCTAGTTCTGGACATGGTACTTATGTCTTTTTTATCACTTCACTGTTTTTACGTGTTGTGATGTTTTAGTGACATCGAACATCAAAATGTTCGTTCTGGATGAGGCAGATGAGATGTTATCACGTGGTTTCAAGCAGCAAATCTACAGTGTCTTTAAACGTATGCCGAATGACGTTCAGGTAATTGGATGCCTCTTTTTTTCCGTTTGCCTCGCATTTATGTGTGTTTGTTAAAATAACATCAGCCGATTGCATTTTATCGTAGAATGTTGGTATTTTCATTCTTTAATCAATGGAGAAGGATTTTTTTGATAAAATTTTACCTTTTTGAGGTTGTGCTGCTTTCGGCAACGATGCCAGCGGAAGTGCTCGAAGTGACAGACCGTTTTATGAATAGCCCCGTGCGCATCCTCGTGAAAAAGGAAGAGCTTACTCTGGAAGGTATCAGGCAATTTTATATAAATGTTGAAAAAGAAGTAAGTATTTTCTTCCAAATTTTCCTGTGTTAGATGCTCAGTTTGTGTTGAATCTGTACTTCATTGCGCGGGACTTAACTTGCATTTAATGGCTTGAAAGTTAGGTTTGTGTTGTGATTTCCCCAGCGTTGAAGTCTGTGTTTCTATGTGGAAATTTGCGTAGCTAAGGTTGGAATTGTGTGATGGAATTGTTGGTTGTTGAAGACCGGGGAATAAAACTCAGGGTAGATTTTCTGTTCATTTTTTTGACAGAAAATTGGCTTTGATTGTAATATTTGGGAAAATTTTTTGAGTTCTATGTTCAAAATTAGTCGAAAAAAGTAATTTTAAAAACAAGCTGTATAAAAAAGAACGGGCATTTTGTACGTGAGGGAGTGATGCTTAAAAAATGAATAAATTATCATGTGGATCGTCACAAAACAAAAAAGCCCACAATCCTTACAGAAACGGAATAAAACAGCGAGTTTTTATTAATTTGTTTTTATTTTCGAAGATTTTTCGGAATCTAAAATGTATGAAAAATTGCAGGAATGGAAATTTGAGACGCTTTGCGACTTATACGCTACGGTGAATGTAACTCAGGCAGTTATTTTCTGCAATACGCGTAGAAAGGTTGATTTTCTAGCGTCTCAGATGATCAAAGAAAAATACACGGTTTCGTGCATGGTATGTGTTTACTTCTGCCTCCTTTGTCAGTTCTAATGCAGTTTGAGCTATTTTTTATGCATTTTTTTTTGGCTAGATTTATACCTCGGTCTTTTTTTTTTTTGGTTGAATTGTCAGATGTTTTAGTTGCCTTGTGTGCAACTTTGAAAGATTGCTGTATGATTGACAATATCTTCATTTTAGACAAACCCGAAATCTATTTTTTTGGTTCATTGACTTAAATAATGTGTTATGTTAGCGCATGAGTTTCGCTAGATTTTTTGTTGATGACTCGATTTTTTCATTTTTTTTTTAGAAATTTATCACCGCTAATAAGTTTGTGCACCGTTTCAGTGCTATAGTTCGAGTGATTCTAAATTGGCCTATACTTACTGTTTCTGGCGAGACAAAAAGCGTTCTGATTTCTTGCAGTGAAAAAAAAAAAATAAAATTTTAGCATGGCGAGATGGAGCAGAATGAGCGTGATGTCATAATGCGCGAATTTCGATCAGGCTCATCTCGTGTTTTGATAACTACCGATCTGCTAGCTCGAGGCATTGATGTGCAGCAGGTTTCGCTAGTTATCAATTACGATCTTCCGAGCAATCGCGAAAATTATATCCATCGGTAAGTTTTTTTTTCGTTGCATAAATCGTTTTTTTGAAGTTAGGAAGTGGAAGTTAAA